GTAGGACACTGGAACAGGCTCTCCTGGAAAGCTGTCACAGCACAAAACCTGACAGAGTTCAACAAGTGTTTGAATTACTCTCAGATACATGGTGTAATTTTTGGGGCTGTCCTGTGCAGGGTCAAGAGCCACACTTGGATGATTCTTGTGGGTTCTGTCCAACTCAGGATATTCTATAATTCTGTAAGTACCAATGAGTTTCATTTTCACTGCTGCAGAGCTACCCAGAGGGGTGTGAGTGTATCAGTGCACTCCTGCTCCATCCATACTGATAGTGAGTGCAAGCCAGAGATGGAGCTCTGAGATCTGTGTTCAGAACATTTTCACAGAAAGTAAAAAATGGGATTTAAGTGTCTCCTTAAATATTGCCTGTGCTGACTTTATTCACCACAGGCTCAGTTCAGTCTAATTAGTGTTGCCAGGAATCTAAGCAAACGGAATCAAAGAGTAACTTCAGAAGAGACGAAGCAGCAGCAGCAACTGTCAAGAGTGAGTCTCTAATGCTTATTCATATGCATTAATTCAAAGTGCCCAAATTTTATCCATAATACATAGCAGGCAGCAGACAGTGAGGCTGTTAACTGGGAATGCTGGTGTTTATATAAGGAAACCCATCAGTGTACCTATGGAAAGGCTGTGAGCGTTTTACCCAGTGAGTACCAGCAGTGTTTGGCCTTCCACACTCGGGACAATATGAATATATCAAGGTTTTCAGAAACTCTAAGTATCCCTAGAGAGTCCTTGCTGCTCAGCAACAATGAAAACCATTCCCATCAGTATTATTTATATTGGGTAATAATAGCATATTACTTATATATGGACTCAATATCTCTGTGATGGATGGGTTATTAAAACGCCAATGGACGGGTCAGAAATACATCAATATTTTAGCAGCACTGGTTATCAACCCAAGGCTATGCTGAGTCATATATTTCCTTGTGCTGGGAAAAGCTTCGAGAATGCTACAATAAGTGTCTGAAGTGACTGAAGGCATATTTGGAAAAGAATTCAAAGCTTGTAGTAAACAGCATTTTCCTTAAAAACAAACTGGCAAGATTGATTCATGAAAGACAAATGATAAAAGGAGATGCAGGCAAATTTAAAAGGGAGATCTGTATCAAAGAAACTAATGGGAGTGACAGGCTGCAACTTTCAGCTTGAGACAAAGACCTGTTTGTGCAGCAGCTGGGTGAAGGTATGTTCAAAAACCAGGCAAATTGTAGCTTGGCTACAACTGAGTGGGGTGTGACCCAAGAGTGCCCTGTGCGTCCCCACACCTCAGCAGTGTGTTCTGCCTCCTGCCCCAAGACACAGGCACCTTGCCTGCAAAGAGCTCAGCAGAGCTTTCTAGAGATCTTCTGGAGCTACTGGAGCTTCCAATGAACCTAAATTAGTGGCAGGACATGAGGAAATGACTTGCTTAGATGAGCTGAATGGCTCATCTTATAAACTGAAATCAACTCAGTTGTGACAGGAAAGGAGGAGGATAAGGAATGGGGAATTATGCTGAGGGAAGCCACAGTGAGGGAAAGGCCCCACTGCAAAGGACACTTGCTTGACTCCTTGGCATTTTTTAATGGACATCACACTGCTAACAGACTGCAGAAGCACTCCACGAGAGCAAGTGCAAACCATGCCATCGTGCATCTGTTATAATGCTAAGACCTTTCCACTGATATTTGTAGTGATATTTGAACAGGTAAACATGCCCTTAAGCCTGCAAGCAGGAAAAAGCTAACAGAGACTTATGAGCTGGAATGGGAAAGGCAGCTCTGGTACAGCCAGGGAACAAGTGCAGCAAATCCTAATGGGGCTCTAAAAGAAATTACACTTTCCCTGCCCCTGAGAATAGCTCCACATGTGTTTTATCTTACCACCAGCAGTAACTGCACCAAGGGGGTCCTGGTGCTTCAGTGGCTGCAGGACCAGGATGACTGTGAATATGCAAATGGCTTTTCTTTATATGATTATATCAGTCCTTAAAAAATTAATTCAAGACTTTCCCCCTCCCAAAGCCTTTGTGCTCTTAATACAGGGTAAACAACAACACTAACTCTTCCTTATGCCAATTAAATGACATTACTGAATCCTTATGGTTGGGACTAACCTGTTTTTTTTTTTTTTTTACTGTGTCACTGAATGTAGTTTTGAATTATAAAAATCTCAGGTTTTCCATCCCCAAAAGTACCATGTGACAAATTAACTGAAAAAAATAACATAAAACTACACAAAATTATCCCTTTGTCTAAGTCCTAAAATTAGATTTTGTTTGAAATTATAATTGCTGAACTTGACTGCAGCTTTGTTCCTTGGTGGTGACCTCCTCCTCATGTACTTGAAGTACAATAGGACTGAGATATAAATGTTTGATTTAAACACAAATGGAATGATTAAGACCTTTGCTAGGTGAGAATTCCATGATTTGGCCTATAAAAGGGCACTTAATTATCGCTTGGGCTATGTGTCACTGACTATGTCACATCCTAAGGCCTTAGGAAGCTACCACCTGTCAGCTGTGTTTAACTCACCTGAGCTGCAGGGGAAAATACTATTAACTTCCATCCTGATGAACCTACTCCAGGTGTTTAGCTTGGTGGATGAAAACTTGCTATGCCACCATAATATTCTCATAGTCTAAGGCCCAACCTCCCAGCAAACAGGACTTAGGAGGTAATGTCACACCTCCTTCCCACTTCCTGATTTTCCTGCTGTGTTGGTATACAAACCCTGAAACACACAGCTTCTAATTTATTCTAACACTGGTATAACTCCAATGATTTTAGGGGAATTTTTCTAATTTATACTTATGGCAAATTAGGTCCTACAAACTTCACATATATATATAAAGAGAAGTGGTTATAATATGTAGATATAATTTTCTTTTCTTATAGAAAATTGTGAAGAAAATTTAATTACATTTAGCCCATCTGTAGTAGTCAGATTAATTAAATATTTCTCTCTGCACTTATCTCTAATTTTAATGTCAACAGAGCTGTCCTAGTCCATGTTATGTTCCCATTAAAAGGGAAAAGAAAATTGCTTTTAAAACCTGCAGTGAAATGATGTGAAGTGTCTGCCTTAAACTGACAAATTCAAGGAGATTTAGAGTTAAAAGTGCCAACTCTTCCAATAACTCAGTGTTACTGCGGAATATAAAGCACCCAAAATCACAGTACAGGGCAGTTTATACAGAGCCAGTTCACAGAGAGTATCAGAAAATGCTTTCCATACATTGAGGCTAACCAGGGTTTCAGTGGGCAGATCTAAGAGCGCAGTGAGTCAGAGGCTCGGGCAGCGGGGGAGAGCAGCGACAGATGGGAGAGCACAGGGGGCAGGGACACCAGCTGTGGGACCTTGTGTGACAGGGACACACTCCAGTGCAGGAGAGCACAGACAGTGGGCAGAGACAGGGCTCTTGGACCTCTTGGAAATAAAGTGGAAAAGGAAGGATATGAGAGGAATAAGGCAATTTTGAATAGGGTTCAGAAATGAGGAATGTCCTTTGCCAAAGGACAGCAGGGTCTTAGAGGCCACAGGATACAAAATCAGAAGGTCTCAAAATATATCTGTAAATGAGGAATCATCACTGAGTCAGAATGTTTCTATTGAGGTCCCACAGTGACCTCAGCTCTTGGACCTACATCAAGCTTGATTTATCAATGACCTAGAAGAAAACAGACAATCATCATAGCAAGCTTTGCTCCTACAGTCAAGTGTAAGATCTCATCCAGGATACTGATATGGTCTTTAGGTGTGACACAATAAGATAATATGTATTTTAATACAACTCACTGTACAATCTAAGAAAAAAGAAATTAACCATGTTTGGGGCTGATCATATAATCATAGAACTGTATGGGTTGGAAGGGACCTTAAAGATCACCCTGTTCTAAGCCCCTGCCATGGGGAGGGACATCTTTTGCACTGTTGCAAGTTTCTCAAAGCCTGACAAAACCTGGCCTTGAATCCACCCTCTGCTGCACAGCTCTGAGGATGGGACAAGCACACTGTAAAGGATGGTAGCAGGTGAAGGAAAGAAAAGCAATAGTCCTTGACCGTTCAGTAAATGACTATTCCTAAGATAGACAGGAAAAATAATTAACTCTGAGAGAAATCAGTCAGGAATATTGTGCCTTCTCTCCCACTGGCAAGTTTGAAATAGAGCTGGATGTTTTTTCTTAAAAAAAAAAAAAACCAACAAAACTCCAACTCTTGTATTAGAACAAACTATTGAAAAGGAAGCAGAGACCAATGTATGAAAGAACTATGTTTTCCCCAGCAAACCTAAAACTTATGCAACCTTAGAGTGAAATCAAGATCACAGAGGACTGAGGGGAGCACTTAGTGCCAAATGCCCTTATTCAACTGACAGAAAGAAGCAAATCATTATTTCAGTACAGGGCTCTGTTTACAGTACTTTCCAGAATCTCTTCTGTGCACTTTCTACACTAGTCTCCTCAACAGTCTTTCAAAAGTAGGTCCAGATAATTGCAAGAACTGGGCTGTGTCTCAGTAGAAATATTAAGAGAGACTAATGTTAAAAGCAACTGCAAATGTGCACTTTATGCTTGCATATATATTAAATTAATAATAATAGAAGTCTAACTGGATGCATTTTGACAGGCACAGACGTTTCTTTCATTTGGGTTTCTCTTGGCTGTTTTTTCTGAAAGACTGACAGAATTATGACGAAGAGTGGAAAGGAGATACAGGAAATTACTTATTACACTTTTGTTTTGCTTTGCTTTTTATGAGAAGAAAAGCAAGTAGTGGGATGGTAAATATGGCCACAGATATTTTCTGCCTTCAGTAGCATCCAGCTCAAGGGTCTGTTTCCTCGCTGTGTTACTTCAGATGAAGTCAGTGGAACAACTGTCTTGAGCAAACAGACAAACAATGACATTTTGTGATAAAAAGGAAAGCATACACCAAAACTATGGATTTAAATGGCAGTCAAGAATGTGACAGATAAACAGAGACACATGAATTATGTATCATACCTCCATCATTGTCCAGGTTATCTGCACACACCATTTCCATGACAACGTTACATCCCGAGCCACTCCAGCCCACTTGACAAACACAATGCCACCCATTCTGATCAAGAGTGCACCTCCCATTTCCATAACAGAGACCTGGGCAACCATCTAAAAGAGAAAGTATGAAAAAAAGCTTTCATGAAGGGATATTTTCTCTTATTTTGCAGTTGCAATTATTCATTAACATTCCTACTTCTAGCACTATACTTGCTGCCTTCAAATGTTCACAGCTTGAGAGCCACTTACATTTCTGGCCAAATATGGAAAAATCCCCAACTTTGTCCTTCCCTTTGCTTGGCCAAAAGTAGTTTTTCAGTGAGGAATAAGGATTTTTAGTGTTTAATATCTTGTTTACAGGAGTAAAGTCATGATATAAAGTTCTGAAGTCATGTCCATCTCTTTCTCTATTGAAAAATAAACTATAGTTCACTAACAATATCACACACATAGTCAAGATTTATATCAAAGATGCACATGGAATATATTGTCTAAATGACAAACTGGCATCTGTGGACCTAATCCTACACATTGCAGGGAGTGGAAGTGACCTTTTTATTCTGTTCATAAATACTCATCTGACTGAGAAAAAGCCAATTTGATTTATACTACAACACACTCTTCCCACAGAAGGCAATTGAGGGAGCACTGCCTTCCTGTTCCACTCTCTTCCTTTAGAGCTGATTCCAATAGGACCAACACATGCCCCTTGGTGGTGCTGATTCTAGATCAAAACTGGACCAAGGGCTGTAGCATCCACTCAGTTATAGACTTGCAAGCTCTGAATCAATAGTAATTTGGACATTCACATTTAGATTTCTTGCCTGTAAGAGTGAGAGAGGAATGGTCTCTTGGATGTGTACACTCATGTCCATCTGCTTGCATGGTGCAGTGCCAGCTCAGACATTTCTCAGATCCTCACCATGTCACACATGGAGCCAAAGGACAATGGATAAAGCTTGGCAGTAAGATTGACAGAGTGAGTGGCATCACTTCTAAGCTGGCTCCTTTCTTTTTGCCAGCATGGACATACAGGGTCTGAAAGCCCCTGTGCACCTGATACTGATCATCAACACATAGGTGCTATCAGAGAGAGGGGTTTTTTGAGAAGGAGAGAAGAATCAGTGCCTGACAGCCCCAAGATCCTCCAATGGAGTTTGGAGGAGCCAGTTGGAGAGTGTGGTCTGTCAGGCTGTGATTCACAGCCCCACATGCAGCACATTTCCTGGTAACTTTACATGAGACACATGATCTCCCTCCTTCTCACCCTTGGCACAGTTTATCAATCACATCTGCAAACAGAGGAATCAGAGAGTCTGACTCTCTTACTCAGAAAAACTGGAGATGGGTGCCACCATTTTCTCACACTGAGTTATGGAAGATGCTACTCCAAAACAACATGAACTTGGCAACCACCAAAGATACAGTAAAAGCCTCTTTCAGGGAGCTGGGGGAAAGGGCAGGATGTGAGAGCTCTTTTGGGTAATGTGGACGTTTTTCCACTTTCAATCACTGTCCTGCTGCATTAATTAATTGCTTGTACATTATTATATTTTGCTACTGTGTATGGTTACCCCCTAAGTCTATAAATGCAACAAAATGAATGCTTAGGTGCTTTTAATATTATCTAATTCCAAAGAAATAAAACAAGAAACAGAAAATAAGCCCTGAGATCTTTCTGAACTCATGGTTATTTTGGTGTTTCAGTGAGCAGCATTTTTGGGAGGGGCTGTGCACCACTGGTGTGGGGCAGGCACAGGGAGTGCTGTCACACTGGGAAGGTTCTCACGCTGACATGAACGAGCAGGACCTGCAGCAATGCACGGGAATCAAATGAGCAGCACCAGACACAAAGCAACATCAAACTTAACTCTTGGATCATATGATTTGAAGAGAACTAGATCACATCTGGCACAGACAGCTTTAGAAAACAAGAGCATTGCTCTAGCAAAAGAAACTTACTTCAAGCATAAATGACAAAAGAATACTTTTATTACTTCTCATGGGAGACAGTATCAATACAAGTCCTCAGCTCTGGCATTACTTTGGATGGTAAACAAGACCAAAAAATGGATTTGCCTAACAGAACATCAGATGGCCCTGTAAAACATGCTTACATTGGTACAACTTTGCAAATGAGTTGAGCACATTACTTATTAAAAACTGCACTTTCTGCTGTAAATCTCTGTGTGTGCATATATATCTGTATATATTTCCATAAACAAATGTGTCATCTATTCTGGGAACCTAGCAGTACAGAAGCTCAAACAAAATGAGTAACAGAAAACACTCCATTCCCAATACTTTTGTATATTTTCATTACTTTTTTTGGAATGCTGATATGAAAAACTTACCTTGAACAGCATCTAAGTAGTGAGCTTAAAAAAGAAAAGAACAAAACTGAGATGGATCAAACTTCTGTACCAAATGAAAATACATTTGCTTATGGCTTGACACCTGGGGGTTGATATAAAATGTCTCCCTCTTCCTGCAGGCAGAGCTATTCCTGCTGCTGTGACCAGAGCATTGTGTTTGTGATCGTTCTCCATTTGATGAAAAGCGTGCAGGGACCACACCTGGCACTGCCTACAATGTGAACAGCAGGTCTTTTTATCCCTTCAAGTATTTTGGTCCTTCTCTGGATTTGCTCTAAACAATCTTCAGAAAATTAGGCTGTTCCTCCATCACAAACCTAATTCTTGACTTAGTAAATTCTAGAGCCAGGGAATTGAATTATCTTAAAATGCTCCAGATAAAGATAACACATTTTAGATTTTTTTTCAAGAAACAAATGTGAGATCTTATGCTGCTCATCTCTGACAATTAGATAATAATTTCACTTTGGGACATTTTAGGAAGAAACTCTCTTAGACTTTTCAAAAAACTGTTGAATTTCATTAAAAATAAAACGATTACACTTTAATAGTAGACTAATGACTTCTAAAAAGATCCAAAAGCTTTACCTTATTAGGAGTATTGTTAGCAGTCAGCTCTAGGAAAAATACCATTAGCAGTAAGTAAAATATGTAAATCCTCAGACAGAAAGGCAAGAGATTTAATGCAAGAATTATGTAATGTAAATAATAGCTTTGTTTCCTCACACCTTCTACTTTTTAAACATTTTTTTCCTTCCTGACTATAACATTCATGTTTGAACACATCCCAAAGATATGTTAGGACTGAGCTATCTTTCCTTTCTGTTTTTTTTTTTTAATTAATCTGTTATTTCCTCTACACAGAAAGCTGTGCCACGCTGCTATTCTGTGGGACAAACAGAGTGCAGAGGCACCTTTTTTACACCAGCCTGGATTCTGAGTCTCAGTTTTTCCAAACAGATTTCAATCAGAATGATGGTTATCTGTATAGGACTGGATTAAGGTTTTATGTATTTCATTTCTTGAGGTACAAAAGCCCCTTACCTATGGTGCAGTGGTCCCCTTCCCATCCTGGGCTGCACTCACACTTGCCATCCTTGCACTGCCCGTGCTCGGCGCAGTGGGAGTGGCAGGTCCGCTCTTCGCAGGTGGGTCCCACCCAGCCCTCCTCACACTGGCAAATCCCTCGGGAGCAGACACCGTGGCTGCCACAGTCCAGGGTACACAGCTCTGCACAGAAAAACAAAAGTACAGCACGTGGAACAGCACTTCCATACTGCAAACAGACTTTGCATCAAGACTAATTCACTTCTGTATGAATGTCACTCATCAGCTGGATCAAACATGAGATTTTATCACTCAGTACTGACCTTATGCAATCTGGCTGCCTCCTTCTTTAGCAGTTACTTTATCATTTATTTATTTGGGGTGGGGACTGCAAATGTTGGCTTTGCAGAGGGTAGAGTAATAGGTCTGAAGCAGACAAACAATGACATGAAAGAGTCTGTATCTTTTGACTAATTCTTCTGAGACTCAGTTCTAAAATCTCTTACAAACTCAAATATTGTGAACTGAATTAAAGGATAAAGTAGCACATAAAATACATATAAGCAAACCAATCTTATAGATATTCAAATGTCTGCAGTGATGACAAAATGCCCTTCACTTGTAGGACAGGGAGCCACCAGAAAGGGAGTAAGAGATGAGGCAAGCACCTCACTCTGACAGCAGCATGCAACATGACATGACCTACAGGCCATTCAGATCCCCCCAGTTCTAAAATGGCTTTCGAGGATTCAGACTTTTTTTTCCTTCCTGACCTTCATGAGTCAACTGCTAAGAAACCAGGAAAGCTGTTTCAAGTAATACCTCCTTCATTGCCCTTGGAAGATTTCTCTACCTGGGCACTGTAGAACAGCCCTGATTGTGAAGTGGTATGAAAGTCCTGAATTGTTTCAATACATCACCATAGGCTAATTGCAATTCTGCTTCTATGTATACTAAAGTTGTTCTGTGAAAAGAATGGTTTCATTATAGAAAGGTTCCATCTTGTTTGAATTTATTTAGAATAATTATTGTAAAGATACAGAATTTGCTTGTTATCCTGTAATTAACCTGCTACAGAAATGTCTCCTCCTTCTTCCTCTCAGAAAGCAGCTGATAGCACTTAAAGTATAAGCCAAGCTCATGTCTACTCCCATTTCAAATGTCAATTCTACATATTTAGTTGTGGCAGGATTTTTCTCTTGACAGATTTTAAACAATGATCATTTAGATCTTGGAACTATTGTATATAAGCATCCTTAAAACCATTTGTAGTGACAAATGCTGTCACTTACATACCAAGAAAAGTTTTTAAAGTTTAAATTGAAATCTTATCTTCCAATCATTTTAATACAAAGGAAAAAGCAGCACAGAACTGGAACAGCACAGTGACATCAAAGACATGCTGGGCTCTGTCTTGAGTGAGAGCTTAGCCCTTATTTTTGGTAATAGCCAGGGTGATAGCACAGTGCACAGTCAAAAGGATGAGTGAGTGACAAACTGCAAGAGCATTGTCCAACTCAAATTCAGAAGCAGAAGGCACAGTAAAGAACATCACACAAAATTCAGTAAAAGCAACTTTAAAGTATTGTCCTTAGGAATGAGGATATGATTCTATGATATTCCTGAAAAACAATATGTAAGACAAGAACAGAGACTGCTCTATTAGATTCAAATGAAAAACTGTGCTGAGTCTGGGGCATTATACCTTAGAAAGTCTTGATTGCTGCCTGCTGATCACATATTCATCTACTGCTTCATGCCTTGGACTGCCTGCCTGCAGGTACTGGAAAGGATTTCTTCCCCCTTGCTGCACAATTTGTCTTGGCTGTTTTGTTTTGTTACTTGTTTGTTCTTGGAAACCTGGGAGATTGCTTGGAGGACCATAGGAGGACTTGCTTTCTTACTCCATTGGTACTGAAGATGTCCAAATACTTGCTCCTATGTTTAGAAAGTGAATTGATCCCACCAGTTCACAAAAGCATCACTCCCAAGCAGACTGGCAGAGGATCACTGGTTTTATTTGAACCTATTGTTCCAGCTTGGACATTGGTCTACTCGTAAAATTAAATCTAGCAAATACTTTAAGAATTTAGGCTGCTAGAGGGATGTGTTTGATCTCCCCATATCTCCCTCTAGTTCACTATAATTATTGCTTATGATATTTTACTTCAACTGGAAAAGATTGTTAAGAGGATATTAATAAATATTGTGTAGTTTACAATATACTGAGCTAAGTGGAACTGATGGCCATCTTGACCCTCTGGATTGACATTCTACTACACAGACTGTTGCAGCTTTGGGACTGGCTTAGTTCAACTGATTCCAAAACTTCAGGGAAGACTGTAGGCATTGGAATACAGAAGTGGCAATGGCTGAAGTGGGGAAACCAAGCAATACAGAGAGCTTTTGACCCTGTCAGCAGTGCTAACAGCTCCTGCCACTTCTCTTTCTGTAAACAGACCCAAGCACCAGCTGTGGAAAAGCTCGAACACATTCCCACACATGGCATGCATGGCTGCACTACCCCACAGAATCTGATCATGACAAACTCATCTTCCAAACAAACAAAAGAAATAACAGCATGGAGCTGAAGGCAATGTAGGCACATTCCTACCACAGGGACAGGGATAGATCTTGCACACATCTCCCTTTTAAAACCAAAAAATTAAACGGACCTTAAACTGTTAAAAAGTTTTCCACTGTTTTCCCTACACATGAAATAAAATGTTTAAACATAACCTAATCTTTAATGAAGTGGAGATACTAGATTACTATCTTATAAAAAATTCCCTAGGTCAGTATATACAGTATTCACTCATAAGGCTACTTTTTGTTTTGTTCTGTTTTCCAACACAAGATCATACTCGAAATTAACTTACCTAGTTATTGCATTTCCTGCTAAAAATTAATTTTTCCCCAAAATATTGAGTCCGAATGCTCTTTAATGAAAACCAAACCAAATTTTGTAAGCACCAGATGCAATGATATGAGGCATCTTAGCTTGGACCAGACACTTTCCTCAGCTACCCTAGCTGACCTGCAGTTCAGCCAATTCACACTTTGTCATCACTGAGGCAACCTTGAGACTTACATTCTTTTTGGTGATTTCTTAAGCCTTCAGAAGTGCTGTTTACCATGATAATGTATTCTTCTGCCAAGCAAATCCAAGATTCTCCACAGACTTCTCATGCAAAGCAAGGGAAATCAAGCCTAATGTCATCTTATTAATGCTGTGGTAGAACATGCAGCTTTAATCCACAGCTAATTCAAACAACTAAGATCAAAAAAAGGATTATCAGTTCAGGTTGTCCTGCTTTTAAATGCAAAACTATTTCTTAACTCCTTCTGCAGATAAACAAGCCCAGAAACCTTTGTGTAGCAGGGAGCCACATTAGCATTTGTGTTTGTATTGAGGGCTTCTGCCAGAGACTGGACAAAATGAGATACTCCAGTGAGTGCTCAGGGACCAACTGCAATGGGAAATTATACAGTAACTTTAACTAGGTAAATAGCTTCAAATAAAGCTGATGTGGCAAAAATTCACACAGAGGTGAAGGTGGACAGCAAGTCATACAGCTGTTCAGCTCATGGGAGCATCTTCCTCCTTCCAAAGCAGTTGGTCCTAGAGGACACAGAAGCACCACAAAATGCAGCAGAGCCAGCACAATGGGGAAGGGCTCTAAGCTGTGGGTCAGTGCAAGCAGCTGAGACAGCCAAAAATGTCTTCTCTGACTGAAATAGCTACTCCACTCCTCCTCCTCCTCTCCATCCATCTCGTGGCTCTGCGATCCCTGCCTAGTGCTTAGCATGGGAACACTGGTGAGATGATTCAGATCATGGAACTGTCAGATAATTATTCAGTTTATTTTCCTGGGTTAATACCTGCCAGCTAGCTGAGCTAAATCAGCCCAAGGAGAGATCAAAGCAGCCATAGAGGCAGGATGAGGGAGGAGATGCAAATCCCAGCCTGGACAGAGACTGTCCTGCTGAGGAGCCACAAGCTGTGCCATCATCTGACTGCAAAGGACAAGAGCAGAGAGATGACTTCTGTAAGGTAACAAGGGAGGCAGGTGACAAGAGGAACAGTTTGGATTAGTTGATTCAGGGATATTACATCACAAGCCTTTACTTGTGCTGCTCCATTAATTGCCATTCATTCCTGCCATGTACAGTGCCATGCTCACAACACCTTAGCTCCTTGACCATGCTGGTGTTTAGGTTACACAAACCCATCTCTTCACTGCCACTCCTCTGTGTCACAGTTTAGTGGGACCTACACCTGCCTGCCTGAGCTCTGGGCAGACCTTGTGCAGCAAGCTGGGCTTCAGGCTGGTCTGTGGCTGAGACCCCAGTCCTCAGCACATGTGAATTTTCAGGGTTCCCAGGACACCGAGTCACCCAAATTCACAGTAATTCATGGCCCCGTGGCAGTTTTTGTACCTGTACACTTTGAAATTCAATAAGGTTCTCTAAATGTAGGCCTGGAAAGTCAATTTTGGTTTTGAAAAAAGCCCAGGCATGCAGAGTCACTGTGAGCATCCTGCTGGCACAGCGCTGGGGATGGCCTCAGCTGACCCCAGCAGCTTCCCTCAGACTTTCATCAAATACAGTTTGCATCAAATCTGAAATTCCAAGTCCTTAGACTCACACCAATTAATGAAGAAGAGACTTAAAAAATGTTCAATTCAGTCTAGAATTTTTACTGACATGCCCTTAATTCTGAATGCTCATTAATTTCTTGGAAAAAGGCAAATGTGAGCTGTGAACCATTATTTGTACATATTCTTGAGGAGGAGACAAATAGTTGATCATTCCTGAGCTAATCTAAAAAGCATTAAAAATTCAATCCACACTCTTCATTTTAATTACCTAAGTCAACAATAAGTTCTTTCAAATGTGTTTTATAATAAGTTCCTACTTATGTGTTATGAAAAGGGAAATTAAAGCTAAATATTTTATAATTTGTAATGATAGGGAAGATTTTAATGTTAATTCAACATGTGTCAGAAATAACTCCTAGAAAATCATGCTAAGAATACAAAACTATATGTAAACAAAAGTGGCCAAATACTATGAAATACTCATTATACTTTTGTTCAGTGGTGAGTCTTGTTCTACAGATAGCCTAAACTTTCAGTATTATATTAATAATTTTGCTATCCATTTTTTAATAAGTGGTTTTC